CTAATTTGAATAAAAAGAGATACACAGAATACAAATGAGTGCAGACTGAGAGCCGTATACACTGTCTCATCGATGTTTTAGTGGAAGCTGAGTATATACTCATACCTTCCCAGCCCTTGATGGCTAAATCAGGATTTGAACCTGTATCTCCACAGTGTCAGGGCTAAGCACCAGTGCGCCCTTGGACACTTCACGGAAGTCCCTCTTTTTATACACTTATTATTTGGTATTAAACAAGTTTCTTGCTGGCAGTTGGGATCATTGAAAGCAAAATGAGGGGTTCTAGCTGCTCCCATCTTCTTTTCCCACAAATGCTTCAGGGCCACCTGTGGGGCTCAGGGACATTCTTAGGAAATAACAGAAGGGCAATGCATGTTAATGCTTTCATGTGCAGCATTCCCATTTTGCAGTGGTGCCCATAACAGCTTCCCAGACTGCTAAATGTGCCTCCAGGCCTCAAAAGGTTGCCTGCCCCTTCTTTAAGTACTCTGGCTCTGCATTGCAGTTCCTTCCCCATTTATATACCATATTTCTAGAGGAAAGAATTAAGCCATGGGTCCTCAAACTATGGCCCGGGAGCCAGATCCAGCCCACCATGCCCATTTGGACCCACTGCACGCCGCCCATGCCCGCGCCCACCACTGCCCACCTCACCACGGGGAGGCAGCGGTTCGCTCGCTCAGAGAAAACAATCTCCAAGCCAGCAAGCCACTGCCTCGTGCACCCGCCTCACGGCACGTGCCTGCCCACACCTTGCTTCACTGCACGCCACACCCCAGCCTTAGCGCGTCCGCCCACACGCACCACCCCTGTCCCCGCCCATGTGCCGGCCCACCTTTCCAGCCCACACCCAGCACCGTCAGCTTTCAACTGGCCCACTGGTGGAAATGTTTGAGGACCCCTGAATTAAGCTATCAGAAAAATCCATCAAGGCCTTGGATGGTTAGGAGCAGAATGCAAATCTACTGAGCTCTTTGTGGAATTCTCTATTATTTTCTTCAGAAGAATACCTCTCCAGCAGGCTAACTTTGAATATGTACAGCCAGTCCTAAAGAAGGCGTCTCTGGATCCAGAGATGGCCACCAATTATAGACTGGTGGCCAACATCCCGTTTCTGGGCAAGGTGTTAGAATGGGTGGTGGTGGGACAACTCCAAGCACTCTTGGATGAGACTGATTATCTGGACCCATTTAAGTCCGGCTTCAGACCCGGGTATGGTACTGAATCTGCCTTGGTCGCCCTGTATGATGACCTGTGCAGGGAGGGAGACAGGGGGAGTGCGTCCCTGTTGGACCTCTCAGCGGCTTTCGATACCATCGACCATGGTATCCTTCTGGATAGGTCAGTGAGACTGGGAGTAGGAGGCACTGCTTTGCAGTGGTTCCACTCCTATCTCAATGGCCAATTCCAGAAGGTGGTGCTGGGGGACTATGGCTCTGCGCCATGGCAGCTATGCCATGGAGTTCTGCAGGGGTCCATTTTGTCCCCTTTGCTGTTTAACATCTACATGAAACCGCTGGGAGAGGCCATCAGGAGGTGTGGGCTGTGGAATCATCAGTATGCTGATGATACCCAGCTCTACCTCTCGTTTTCCACCAATCCAGGTGAGGCAGTGGCTGTACTGAACCGGTGCCTGGCCGAGGTAATGGGCTGGATGAGGGCCAATAAACTGAAGCTCAATCCAGACAAGACGGAGGTCCTGTTGGTGGGTGGTTTGGGCCCTGGGGTAGGTGACTTGGACCTGAATGGGGTTGCACTCCCTCTAAAGGACAGGGTCTACAACTTGGGAGTGCTTCTCGACCCAGAGCTGTCTTTGGAAGTTCAAGTGACTGCGGTGGCGAGGAGCGCTTTCCTTCAGCTTTGGTTGATCCATCAGCTGCGTCCCTACCTGGAGGACGATTGCCTAGCAACAGTGACACATGCATTGGTTACTTCCTGATTGGACTTTTGTAATGCGCTCTACGTAGGGCTGCCCCTGAAGACAGTCCGGATACTTCAGATGGTGCAAAATAGAGCAGTCAGGTTGCTGACGGGGACTGGGCATTACTCTCACATAACCCCAGTCCTCTACCAGCTTCACTGGCTCCCCATTGAAGTCCAGGCTCAATTCAAGGTGCTGGTTATCACCTACAAAGCCCTTACCGGCTTGGGACCTGGATACCTAAAGGAACGCCTGCTTCCATATTTGCCCTCCCGCACCTTGAGATCAGCGGCAGAGGACCTCCTCCGGGAACCTTCTGTGAAAGATATTAGGAGACTGAGTACCCGGAGGAGGGCCTTTTCTGCGGTGGCACCCCGTCTATAGAATGCACTCCCCAGAGAGGTCTGCCTGGTGCCGTCGTTATTTGTTTTTCGGCGCCAGGCCAAGACCTTTTTATTTAAACAATATTTTAATAACTGTTAATATTATTTATTGGTTTTAACTTCTATAGCCAGGGTGAATCCGTATTTTTTATGTACTATTTATATGCCTGTTTGTTTATTGTATTGGAAGCTGTCCCGAGACTCATGCAAATGGGACGGCATACAAAAACTCCAAATAAACACATAATAAATAAATAAATACAGCAAGATTTTCTCAAGCGCATGTTTAGAAAATAATGTATTTTCTCCCCATTCCTTGCCTTTTAAAACTTGCATGCATATGACAGCATATATTGGTGGTTCTGGCCTTCAATTCACTTCAGTTTATTACCTGCATGTTTCTGTTACCTTAACACCATGTGAGCAAACCCTAAGTTCTACTTCTACCTCTTCCTTCAGTGCTTATCCTGGTGTCCAAAAACAGAGTAGATCTACAATATTGAAAATGGTTCTCTTGAAAAAATGAAACAGCATTCAGATATACAAGTGGTGTTATTCAGTGGAACAGGTAATCAGTATCTTTGTTTCTAAATGTTAAACATTAACAAGAAAAGCAATGAAACAGAGGGAACTGGGGAAGCGTGGATGTTCTGCATTACAGACCTGCAGAAAGGTGTCCAGTTGTACAAAGGTGCAAATATTAAATGAAGACACGGAACATTATGCTGCATTTTCTAAACATAATGTGTTTCCCTTAGAGCCCAAATGAAATTTTGTCCTTCTGTTCCCAGTAGAAAACTATGAACTAGCTATCTCTATCAAAACCAGCATAAGTACTGCTTGTACTCCAAATGACAAACAACTGATTAAACAAAGAGATACGATGCCTAGGTAATTTACATCAAGGGTTTTGGTTTTGTTTTGCAGCTCCAGCTACACAATGATCATTTTGTATGAAAAGTCAATGTGTTAGTTCTAGTGTACAAAATCTTCAACACCTCAGGCCCCAGGTATCTGTTGAAGGGCCACCATTCCCTGTACTGTGCAACACGGGATTTAAAATTGGCCAGGGAGGCTTTGTTTGTAGTGCCACAGGAACATGGCCTCTGCGGCTAGGACACATGGCAGAACTTTCTCCATGAAGGCACTCCAGCTATGAAACTCCCTTCCAGGAGAGGTTCCATTGACCCCCAGGACAATGTCATTCCGTTAAAGAAACTAGCTGAAAAAACATTTATTTCTACAAGGCTGTGGGGTATAGGCACATTTTAGTCTGTTTATTTTTCAAAAATTATTATCACATTAATATTCCGCCTTTTCCTCTCTTGCAAGGAACCCAAGGTAGCTTACTGCCCGTGTTGTCCTCACAACAACCCAGAGCAGTAGAATGGGCTGAGACCCTGTAGCTGCTCCAGTCTTTCCGAGTGAGCTCCACGGCTTTGTAGGGACCCGATTCTGGATCTCCCCAATCTTGGTCTAATCTTCTAAATGCTACACGAGGCCATTGCAATCCTGTTGCCCTGCAAGGCCTAGCAGTACCCAAGCTGAAGATTGTACCGTGTCATCCCTCATACCCACCTGTGTGGCCTGGTGGGGATCAAGCACATGCAGCATTCTTAGGGGGTTAATACCCAGGTTAGAAGAGTTATGTTACAGACATCAAGAACATCTCCACTGTATGGCTGAGTGGGAACGCTGAGCTTGTTGAGTCCTGAATTTCTCTCCAGACTGAATTTGGTTTCCTCAGGAAGCAGCACAACAGCACCGTAACCGGATGGGACGAGTTAGTGCAAGCAAAAAACAGGAGTCTTCCCTGCAGCGAGAATTCTGAGGAAGGGAGGGAGGCATTCCAGATGCAATCACACTGCTTTCTTAGGGCAGCTCCTTATTAGTTTTTCTCTTGTTGAAAGACAGAAAAGTGAATTACACCAACTAGGAACAGCCCTATATATCAAAATGACACATGAAGTCAATAGTAACTAACTGTGCTTCAGGGCAGTTTGTCTAGTAACAAAAGGAACTGTTGCTATGCTCATTGACTGGAATAATAAGATGGAAGTTTGGGTGGTTTGGGTAGTGGAGAGATTACTCATCCTTTAAACATACAAGGGGACAACCTTTTCTAACGGGAAGGAATTCCTTGACTTCTCAGCTATGTAGCTCCTCACAATATTATCTACAACCATGGAAAGTGACATTGTGTGACTATTAAAATGGAATCAACAGGAATTCTATTAATTGTCACAGAAAGCCTTTAGCAAAATCATTTCCTGTCTTCTGAATCCAGCTGGAAATGTTGGGCAAGCCTTCTGCATAATCACAAGGGCCCAGTCAGTTTCTTTGAGACAAACAGAGGAAGCTGTGTTCCTTTTCAAATCTGTCAGTCAACAGTTACAGGCACCAAGAAAAACCACCTCTAACAGAAGTTTTCTGTGATAAATGAAAACTCTACCGATAATAAAACAAGCATATATTTTAGTCACTGGCACTTAGCTTGATCTCATGAGTTGCTGATGCACAACATTTTGTCAGAGCACTCAAACAAAGCTGAGGCACTGGCCTAGCACCAAGGACACCCCTAGAGTGAGATAGATGAGGCTACTGATTTGAGGTCCTTACTGTATTTTTACTGCCAGGAAGTGGGAAAGTCACGTGCCAGATTTTTTTGCCTGAGTTGCCAAAATAGCATGACTCACCATGGATCCTGTGCACCCTGATTTGGGTGTGGAGGCAAGTACCATTTTCTTCTCCACCTTGAACAACAAAAGTTTTTGGGGTGACTTGACTGACACCTGCCACAGGGAAAGCCAAAGAGCATTGTCTTTAAAAAGAAAAGAAAGAAAGAAACAATACTTTTACATTGAAACAAAAGGGTGTGTGTGAGAGAGAGACAGAGAATGATACATGGGAGCTTGTCATTCAAAGTAAAAGGATAGAGTGAGGTTGCATTTATCTAAATTTTAGGCCACCTGAGAAATATCAAATTATTCCTGGTTGTGCAGCAAAAGTAGCCCATCTCAGAGTTTGGACAGAAGGAAAGGGAACTTGGACAGGGACTCCTTCAATGGATAAAGGACTCTGAAAATAGAGGAGCAGGTGGAACAGAAGCACAGAATAAAAGTCTGAAATCTAGAAAGGGCTGGAGTAAGGAAAACTCAGCTGGGGAAAGTGACTGAAAAGGAACAAAGGATAGAAGGATAAAATGTGGTAGCAGAAAGGGGGAAAGAACTGCTGGACCCTTAGAAGTCCAAAGAGCTGCTAGAAAACAGTGCAATTAGGAATAACAAGATCAAATGGACAAGAAAAAACTTGCTCAGTTTAGCAGCAGCTCAGTAGCAGATCATCCTGACTCGACACCTACATCTTGTATAACATCTTTTCATAGGCATTTTCCCTTTCATCCTGCAATGACTTACTTTATAACTCTATGGACACTTATGCTAACTCTGCAGCTATTAAATGGCAGGCATCCAGGATGAATTTGCAGATACTTACCTTACTGTGCTGTATGTCCATTCTTCCTGATCCTCTAGATACTTATCTGTACCACCTTGTGAGCATCCATTGTATTCTTATACCTCCTTACCGCACTTAACAACCTTTCATCCCAGGTTCTGCAGCTACTCACCAGTATTGCTTCAGAGACTTCCATCTTATTTTCCAGCTGCTTTTTGGCAATTTCCAACAAGAGAGTCTGATTGTACAATTACTGACTGCAATGATCCTGTGCTAGAACAAGGATTAATAAAGACTATAACTGTTTCATTATGTGCTCATGTTGATCACTGGACTAAAAGAAAGGGGCATGGCTTCCTTGGCAGAAGGACACATCTTGTGGTACCCTCACATTTCATGTTCAGTATGTGATAAACTGGGCCTCAATGGGAGCAATCAAGTGCTCTGTAGTACCCGGTAGCATCAAACTAATGAACACTGTTAACAGATTGCTAATAATGGGTTTACAATATGAGATATAATCTTATTAGTATTTTAATTTTAGGTAAGTCTATAGGTTCTGCAATGCAATTCTATTGCAGGATTGCAATCTAAATGCAGTCCTAATGCTTGAACAGGAGTCCTGCTTTTAGCAGGGGTGTGTGGTCCCAATTATCTTATTGACCCTTCCAACTCTACTATTCTATGCTCCAACCGTGCCTCCCTGCACACGTGGCCATGCTCAATCCTAGAATTTAAAGATGGCATTGTCCACACATTGAAACATGAACAGATGAATGGCAATTCAGCCTAGAGTAGCTACTTATGAGTAGCTACTCATAAGTAGCTACTACTTGCCAAAAAGGGGAAAGAGTGTAATCTTAGGTCCCCTGGCCTTGCTGCATGAAACTCAGAAGCTTATGTGCAGTAGTCTCTGCCACTACTGTGTCTCTCATTGCTAAACTACCATTTTCAGTTGTCCAGATAAAAGTTTCAGGGAAGCAGAAGGAAAAAGGCTAGGGTGCCTCCCCTTCTCACCCTTCACACACACACCCTTCCCCTCTTCCAAGAGTGTTTGCATTCTTGAAGAGGCAACTGGTGAGGTTCTGTCTTTTGGTTGTTTTTGTGTGCAAGGGGAGCTCTGTCACCAGACGGGTTTGTGCAGGACTCTAAAAAATCCTATGCTCATCCTGCCCTGTACCAAAAATGATATTGGGAGGCCATAGAATTGAAATGTCTCATGGAAAAAAAGAGTGATTTGCACATACTGATTTATATGTCCAGAGGAACATTAGAAATAATAAATATTATTATTTCTTCTACCATAGTGTAGAAGACAGAGACCTGTGTACCTACCTATTCAGCCTGCTAAATGTAGACAGAAAGCAGTTCTTATGGTTCTTTACCTTTAAACTAGATGTGGACAGTACAGCCCTTTGAATAGAAGATAGCCCTCTGGGAGCCTTTCAAATAAGGGGCACATGCCAGCTCAATCATGCTGCAATAAAGAGACAGAGAATCAGCTTGTGTAAAGTCTTGACATTAATTCTCTTGCACAAATTCGTCTCTGCACGGGTCAAAGTCTGAACATGAATCGCAACGAATGAACATGCATGCAGATGTGAGCAGGGCTGGTCTTGCTACTTACCTAAGTGAGGCTGCCTCCTCAGGCAGCAGATGCTGGGAGATGCTGGAGGACTGCATGCCACGTGATCCAGAGCCAGCGACTGCAATATAACATACTTGATGCCCTGAAGGTTCCCCCATGACAGGACCTGTTATAGAAAAAGGTGTGGCTCAAGCTAGGCTCTAATACTAGCAACTCAGCCCAATTAAAATATACAGAGGGCAGGGAAGACAGACTCTGTTTAGATTCTGCCTAAAATAAAGGCTTGCATTGTCTCATGTTTTTATGACATCTCTTCTCCACAGCTGTCACTACTCAGGCAATGCAGATCTGCAGTTCTGCTGCACTACTACTCAGTAACCCTGCTAAGGCTGGTGTGACATAGCCATGATCCTATTCCCATCCCAAAACCCAGCTGCACAATAACAGGGTTAGAAGTCCGGATAATGCAGTGACACTGGCAGCTACTTCCCACATAATTCCTGGAAATGCCATTTTCATCCATCTAGGATGCCCATGTTTACCCATGAGTAAGCAAGGGTCCTTTAGCCAGTACTGTTTTGACTCATCTTGTTCAGAACAAAATGTGGGATTCTTTGCCCATGGGTCTTTTGAATGCTCTGCAAATGTTCCCTCTTTCTTTGTGGGAGGGAAATGGAGGAGATGCAGATGTCCTACCCTGGAGTAAGTGATTCCTTTCCCTTGCGACTCTTCCTTGCTCAGCTGTGTGTAGAGTGTCCTCTCACTATTGCCACGGTTGCAAGAATTAGAGTAAATGAGCTGGGTTACCTGTGAAAGCTCTGAGACTACTCACATCACTCATCTGCTATGTTGGTTTGGTTCTCCCTGGATGTTTGGGCATGTTGCACAGGCAACAGGAAGCAACTGGAAGCAACTATCATCAGCAAGCTACCAACTGGAGCCTCTAGGAGAGAGAGTAATCTGGTCCCTTGTCCTACATTTCAGGGTTTCTCAGCATGAGAGATTTAACCTGCTGCTTTACTGAGGCTGCTTCTTTTGTTTTTCATGTGGGAGAAAAATATGACCTTTACGCAAGATCTTCTTTTGGCGGGTAAAGTGGGGAGATTTGCATTTCTCTGCTTTTCTATATATTGTATTAACCAGCCACCAGGTGGCTGCAATATAGCAGATTTGTGGCAATACATGAGGTCTTGTTCTGGTTTGCTGTGATTTGAAATGCAGTACCAGAGTTTTCTCACTCTAAAAAATACCTGCGAAAAAGACTGGAAAACATGGGAGAGTCTCAGGAGAATGATGACATCATGAAAAGGCCCCACCAATTTCCAAGAGTGACGGCTTGCAAGGGCACAATAAATGCTTTGTGCAGAGAAGCCCTTAATATGTGATCTGAAGCCTCTGGCAGAGGCTTATTTTGCCTTGGTTTGGTGCAATGATTAAATGTGGTTGTGTGGGCAGTCAGGAGAAAGGAGTAAGTACTTATTTTGGACTGACCAATGATTTTGAGAACAAGGTATTAATATGTTGCCATCTCTCCTCCAAGTATATAAATGCCAGTGGGGTGCAGTGGCTTATTTATTTACTAGATTTACATCCCATCTTTTCTTTTTCTAAGAACTCAAAGCTGTTTACATCATTCTCCTGCTGCTGCTCTCCGTCTTATCCCCACAACAACAACCCTGTGAGTCAGGTTGGGCTGGGAGTCTGTGACTGGCCCAAAGTCACCCAGTTGGCTTCATAATTGAGTGGAGATTAGAACCCAAAATGCCTGAGTCCCAGATCCACATTCTTAAGTCCTACACTGCACTGGTTTGAGTGTAGGACTGGGGATTTGGGTGTTCTGGGTTCTGATCTCTGCTCTGCCATGGAGCTCAGTGGGTGACTATGAGCCAGTCACAGGATCTCAATCTCAAGAGTTACCTGCAAGGGAAGAAAGGCAGGGCAAGACCAGTGTGTAAGCGATGCTAAGATTCTGACTAACAGCAGGAATTGGGAGTATGAAGTTTCCTTGTTAAAACAAGTACATGAGCTTCCAGTTTGGTTGCAAGCCCTACTCCAAGTGTTGGTTATGACCTTTGAAGCCCTTTATGGTATGTGACTGGGAAACTAGTAGGAATATTTTCTCCTGTGTAAGCCTGTCTATTTATTATATAAATCAATGGTGTCCCTTAGGGTGGATCCAAAGAAAATATCAACTGCCCCCTCAAAAAAAAAGGGGGGGGGGAGAAACAGGTCACCAGTTTGCAATCTATTTGCTTGTAGTCATTTTACATATGGCTACAAATGTAGAACTAATAATTATAACAGAAAGAGAAATACAATACAACTGGCCGTAATGGAGAAGACGTAGCAGGTGACCTCAGTGCCTTTTTAGGCCACTGCCCAGATGCCGTTGATGATCATCTGACATGTCCTCACTCTACCTCCGTATGCTTTACTTTTAAACCAGACTTGGACTAGGCAACCCATCAGAAAGATGATACTTTCCCAAAGAAAACTGGCCTCTCTGTAAAGTGAGACAGCGGGACACGCTCACTTCATCAAGATCAGGAAGTGCTTGTTTGGCATTAAGGAGAGTCTTCTCAGTGATCATGTCTACGAGAGTCCTATGCTAGGGATGATCTTCCACCATGGAAGACCTGGTGTTGTTTGAAAAGGCTTGATGTCACTGTTGTTTAAAAATGCTTCATTTGGACTCTCCTGAATAAAAAAAATGCTTCATGTGAAGCTACAGAACTTTAACATTTATAAATTTTTGAAGGGAGTTGTTTATTTTTGAGCTTTTTTAAATATGTGTATAGGTTTCCTGTTACTGCATTTTAGCCATTGTCTTGCATAATTGTTTTAATTTTTTTATTAACTTTTGTGAGCCATTTCAGACGTTTCACTGGAAAAGCAGGGTATATATTCCTTAAACGTATATAAAATTAATATCTAGTCCTCTGCTGCTACATCCTAAATTCTACTCATCCCCACTCTCTTTCTGATAAAGGCATTCTGCTCATGGTAGTCTCCCACCAAGCAACAATTTCATTTAAATGGCTTATTTCCTCTTTCCTGGCATAGCACTGAGCTACTAGTGCAAGGAGAAGTCCTATCCCACCCAGAGGACATATCAGCAGAGCCATGCTGTTAACCACATGCAGGTATGAGTATTTGTTGTAACATCATCACGAAACACGTATCTGTTTTCTCAAAGGAATCAGTTGGCTTTGAAAGGACTTGTAATGAGAGAAGCAGCCTGCAGATGTATCTAAGTGTAACCAGGCAACATGAACACAAAAGCCTCTTCCTGGAACACTTTGAAAGGCAAAAGAACAGGGCAAGCAGTATCTCCATGTCTCAAAACCCTATTTGTATTTAGTGATTTGACACTCAACAATAGGGGAACAGGCTACAGTAGCCCTCCTAACTACTACTCTGATAAGAGATCCTTTAGATTAACTGATCATGGATCTCATACATCTGGGGTGAAATGCCACGATTAATGCATTGAGTAGCTCTGGCCATTCAGTATTTCTCAGGTCTGCTCAGTGGTGAACAACTGTTGTGCACAGAGCTGTGCAGTATCCATTCATGTGGTGAGGAGAATTTTATCACACCTTTAGTCATTTGTAGTTGCCCCTAAACCGTAGAGTTTAAGACACAGTAGCTTCCCATTGGGCTGCACATCAGGACTCAACATCAAGAGCAAGTTATTGATCAAAAATGCACAGAAATGGGACCTGGTAAAGTTCTTTTTCTTGCATGCATGGATGCCACATGAGCTGGAATTCAGTGGTAATGTACCACTCTATTTACTGCATAAGCAGTCTGTTGATTTTGATCCAACTCACTGCATTTGCCAGAAATCTGGGGAAATAAAATTCTCAGTGATAAAATCCTCTAAAATGATTGCCAGGACAATGAAAATGGATAGCTTACCAAGGGGCTGGAAGCACATCACAATAAGTTGCAACATGATTTAAATGGCCATTTTAAGTATCCTTATAGTGGGTTCTCTTTACAGAGTGCTTTCTTTAGCCTCAGTCACATAAGACTGCTTGGATGCTTCCTTTCCCATCTTTTCTGTGCCTCATATGAAGGATGGAAATATATTAATGTCTCTTCCTCTCATCCACGAGTAATGCGTATCCTGCTTCCACATCAGTATGAATGGTCGTGAAGTATCTGGAAAATATCCATGGTTCCATCATCCTTCCTCTGTCACCACTGCTGTTTTTAATTGATCTGCTGAATTTGTCCGCAGTTTTATATCTCTGAATCACATACAAAAATCCTCAACCATGAATAGCAAAACATAATTGATTTAACATTTCTCTTATTAAGCAGTGAGTTGAAGAACCCCCTCAGGGAGCCCTAGTATAGTGTTTCATCCTCTAGAGACCAAAGTGGCCTTCTTTATCATGAGGGTAGAGATAAAGGAGGAAACACTGTCATAATCTCTAAAGGAAACAGGTTACATTCTGTGATTACTATCAAGGAAAAAATTCTTATCAGAATCAAACCGTGAGTATCTGGCTTATTTTTAAGGTGGCTTTAATTTTGTTGTCATTGCACTTTTGCAATAGTAGACACAGTATTGCTCGAAATATTATATTGCTTTTAAATACTTCCTGCCTAATTAACTTTAAATATGCTTTATTCTTCTACAGTCCTGATTGTGATGGTGTTCGTCTTTCCTGGCCATTTCTAAAGCAAAGTGAGAATGGATGCTCTGGCCAGTCACACTGCCACCTATGACAACCATTTTGCCTTGGGTGCTTCTCTGCTGCTCAAGAGGCAAATGCTGACAGCGCTGTCCTTGCTCTTCATCGCTGTCCTTGCTCTTCTTCATCTCTCTGCACTCAGCCCTGCTTTTGTTGCCAAGGAATCACATAACGGATGTGAAGAACCACAGGTCTTTCAAGGAGTTCAAGATGCAAGGGCAACTGTAGGAAGAGTATTCTCGTACCCCATATCACCATTTGCTTTTCAGGGAAAAATTACTCACTACAAGGTAATGCTCAGCTCCTGTCTCCTTGTTAAGCATCCTGTCAGGTAGGCACACTAATTTGTTGAAATAGTTTAGTTCAATTGCAGAGTAGGCTGCTGACAAAATGCAGAGCAGGCGATGGCATTTGAGGAGGGAAACAGAGCACTGTTCTCCATATTTCAGGCCATGTATGGTCAGTTATTCCTCAGGAACACTGGCCAGCTTGCTGGTTTTCTACACCAAATCTCTATTGTTCTGAATAATTAAATGACTGTTCAACGTGTGTTGATAACATCATTATAAATTATTACAGGACATAAATACACATGAGCAAATGCTTTTAAAACACACCGCTTTTCTGTAATTAAATGACACAATTCTTTGTATGTTTATTCAGAAGCAAGTCCCACCATGTTCAGTGAGGCTTACTTCCTTATGGACTCTTTTAGGGCTTCAGTGTTAATATTAAATGTGTCCAAGAAAGACCCTTTAAACCAGGGGTCTCAAACTCAACTTACCCGGGGGCCGCTGGAAGTAGAGTCTGGGTGAGGCTGGGCCGCACCAAGTATTCCACCACCGCGGGGGTGGTGGGCCGTTCATCCCGTGTCTCTCCCGGAGGCCAGCCCGGGCGCCGATGACGCTTTGAAGGCCGCAAGGCCCCTCCTCCGTGCCCCGCCCGTCCCGGCAATTGGCCCACGGGTTGCGAGTTTCAGACCCCTGCTTTAAACCTTACTGAGCGTTGCCTTGTGCTGAAATTTCAAATAGCACTTGTGCAAAACAGCTCACCAGGCAGAACTAGACATAATTGCAGCAGGTTTGTGCCTTCCCCTTATGATGCATACATTTCTTTAGTTATAAACAAAACTGCAAAGTGAGGTTGCAGGGAGGCATTTAATTGGTCTTCTGAAAACAAGGCTCTACTGTCATCTTATCACATGCAGTTTCACCCTGAAAAAACTAACTTCTACTTGTTTGTAGCATTCAAATGACTGGCAAACTTCCTTTGTTATAAGGGTGCCTTATCAATGGCCAAAATAATGATAAATTTCCTGTATTAAAGCTGACTGTTTGAATGAGGAGGCTAATAACAAGATAGAAGAGGAAATTACCTACCTGTTAAGGGAAGGAGACTGATACAGGTGCATGAATGAACAAAAGAAACTGCTTTATAGAAACATATCTGGGGAAGGGTTGCTAGAGCAGGCTTTTATTGTGCAAGCAGTTAATGAAGCCATGGACAAGCACTATAGTTGTATGCTCCACTGGCAGCATCTCTTCCTCCTGCCACAAAGCAGCTTTAGTATGGAAATCCTGGCCTTCATTAAATTAAAGTTCCTGCTGCATCTGAACTAAGAAACTCTGACTGAATGTCAGAAATAAGCCAAAATCCCCCAGCTGGGACATCATGACCCATTTCACACATAACAACCACAAATCACAGGTTAATTAATTAATCCATGATTTGCCACATGCATACGGCATAGGTTCTTTGGCCAATTTGAATATTCAGCCCGCAATCAGGAGTTGCTACAAGAAGTCTGAACCTGGACCTAGCCTACTTCTGACCTACTTCCTAGAAGCTCACTGGGTTACCTTTGGTCACACACTGTACCTCAGCCCAATCCACCTCACAGGGTTGTTGTTAAATTAAAATGAATGAGAGAGAAAGACTCGTGAATATCATGAGCACTGCCAGAGCTTCTTAGAAAAGTGGGATAAAATTGTTAATTTAGAAAATAAGAGATTATGATGACTTTTGGAAATGATGAGCACCAGAAGGATCAGCAGATAAAATCTTAATTTCCACTACATTAAAAAAATCACTTTTCTTCTCATGTTTGTTACAAATTAAACAGTTTTTTTTTACAAATTAAACATAATGACTACATATTCCAAAGAATAAAAGCAAAAACAATTGTGTGAAGTGCTACTTCAATCCTCATAAAGAGTTAAGATGAACATATAGAACATTACAGTCTGCCTTTAGATTTCAGAGATTTCCATCAGGAGATGACACATTTTCCTTTTTCACATTTTTAAACACAGATTCCTTCCCCCCAAGCTTCAAATAAATAAATAAATAAATAAATAAATAAATTTAGATAGCTTATTAAAAGAGCACCAAAATTCACACATGATTTTGGAACACAACAGTTGAGTGTTTTAATGGGATGTATGCAGAAATATGTTCCTCTTTTTTAAATTCTTAAACAGGTTATTCTGACAAATGGTTCAGCATTGCCAAGTTGGTTGGAATTTCAGTCTAACACTAATACTCTTCAAGGGCTGCCGATGCTGGAAGAGAGTGGAGAATACCATTTAACTGTCACTGCATATGGCAAGGCATGTGGGCAGAAAATCCCAACAGCGTGTGCACATTTTGCACTTTGTGTTCAGGACAGCACTGCCGTCCATGAGAAGAAAATGTGCCCACACCAAAAGCATGGCATGTAAGTTGCACTGATTTCTTCCCAAATACATGCAAAATGTCTTGTATTAAAGCAGAAAAACAAGGGCTTGAATGCAGAGTTCTAATCACATAACAATGCCCCTTTTGGGTCTCAGCAATTTCCTCTTTTTCCCTGCAGCCCCTGAACCTGGAAGGTAATGTGGGGTGCTGTGGAGAAAACTGGTAAAAATCCACACACACAGTTTTGTTTGTAGAAGTTCAGATGGATCCAAATTCCTTTATGTGAATGGAAAAACGCCTTCCATTGTGATTGGGCTTTGTTGGTTCCAAGCCAATGAAATCTTTAAGGGTGGACAAATCTGGCAGGCAACAATTCTACCAAAATCACAATGGAGTGACCCTTTTTGACCTTCTGAACCACCCAGAGAGCCTTTTTTTGGCTAAAGGGTGGTTTAGAAATTAAATAATTAATAAATAAATGGAGTTCATGAAAGTGAAATTACTTTTAGTTGCCAGAGAAAGAAATAAAATAAGGAATTGGAGCTTTAAGAAGTGTACATGATTTGAGGTTTAACTAGAGCCCTGGAAAAGTATGTGCACATGTAAGAGACTGTGCATGGTGCCAGTCTTTTAAGATTTCTGTCATAGTTCCCTGCACCAGCTGAACAGGAAAGCTGAACTTTAAAAACGAAAACAATGGTTGCATTTGGCTGTGTGAATGGCTATAGTTCTAGAAATGTTAAAGATAGCACTAGTTACATGTATGGTTATTCCACATGTACACACAGGTTTATAGGAGCATCATGCATTGCTTCTTCAATGAAAATAAAAATTTCATATCAAACATGTCAAGACAAAAAAATCTTTTCCTACTTTTGAAACATATTTTTATAGAAAATGAGAAGCCTGAGAGAATGCTAATCACAGAGAAGGCTCCACGAGGTCAATATCTCTTCCCTCAGAACAGAAATCTTCTTGGATACACCTTTACAGGTGGGGATGCTGTGTGGGATGGCAGGATAGCTCCCCCATATCTCCCATAAAAGGAGAACAAGTTTCTTGGCACATGATGAGGCATGGCCTATGCACACCATGAAATTTATATTCTGATAGAACAGAAAGTGTTCTGTTCTGTGTAGGCATTTGGACTGTGGCCCCAGAGTGCTTCTCACATAGCTTTAGGCCAGCTCAGTGTGGATTTAACATCTTGCATACTCTGTGAATAAGCAGCAAAATGTCAATAGACCAATGAACCCTTTTTCTAAGGTTGTAATCCTGAACGTACATACATGAAATCAGTGAAGCGTGCCTTTGAATAAACATGGATAGCATTATATCCATGCTCTTTTGAATACCAAAGGCTTTTAATAGCATATCTTTTTGGTTACAGCATCTCTTCTGAAGCACTGTGTGCAAGAAAAGTTTCCATCACCTTTGTTGAAATCATAATCCATGTACCTAGTTACCTAGATATTCAGGAACGACTATATCTAATTTATACCATGGCAGAGTATCTGCATTTAGATCCTTCATCTCTGACACTTCTGCCATTCAACAATTCATATAATAAGTGCATTATGAATTCAACCATATTAGCTGAAGACATTCAATTTGTTCACACTACGCAAAGCCATTATGTAGGACTCTTCTGGCCAGTTGGGTTTGGAGCATTTGCTATGCTGTATGAATTGATACAAGTTCTACGGCACAATGTTGAGTCAAACAGTCTCTCGCAGCTGCTGGGATATGAAATTGCTGGCTGGAGAATACTTAAGAAGGAAGGGAAAGAAGAAAAGGATTCAAGAAAGCAGTACAGGAGGCAATTAATGGCCACGCCAAGACCCGCACCGAGACCAATCACAACAGAGGCCTTCACAGTTTTGTCAACTGCTCTTTCATACACAGAGACTACTGTAAGCCCTATTAAGACTTCATCTCCTCTGTATGAAGCCACAGCTATCCCTACTTACACAGATACTTTTTTACATCCTGCAGTAAATCAAATAGATTTAGGAACCATGGATGTGCAAACATTACTACATGATCTGACTGAAGCATCTACCATTTTTCAGTATTTTTCTTCTGAACTTTCTCCTTCTCTGATGTTAACATCAACAGCATTTGTGGATAAGGTGACGTCCAAAACACCAGCAATATCAGAACTGCAATCTCAAGTGGTACAAGAGATATACTCTATACCTAAGAAATCCAAGCCAAAGCAGAGTTCAACACAATATTATTTAGACTTTTCTATGCCAAACAGCACAATTCATTTCTCAAGTTCTGTTCACCACATAATGGCTACTTATGCGTCAACAGAAACCATTCTTTCTAAAATGTCATCTCTAACATATTTTTTTGGAGAAACAACAAACTTGAATTATGATAGTTGCTATGCACAACTAACTCCATGTGGATTATTATGTGAAGGCACCATTTCTATAGTAAATCTTCTATCATTCAGATCAACATTGACTCCTGCAGAACCATCTCAATTTCCATTTTCCAGTGTTGTCATGTCTTTGCTCTCTTCAGGTGATGGCTATCTGAATCATGACCTACTTAGCAACCACAAATATGCCTCTCTATCATTTAGGACTTCCCCATATACAATACAGACTGAAGTACTCACTTGGAATACAGGCTTAAACTTCACTGATATTTTGTCAACTTTCAACTCTACCACCATGATGAATGCTTCTGCCCACAGGACAGGATTGCCTCCTGATATAAGTCCAACAGATCATTATTGCAGTGACAATACTCTGGCCTTGGCAATGTACAGCACTTCAGAATTCAACATATCCTTCTTTGTCAATTCCCTAGAAATTGGATTGCTATTGAGAAGCAGCAGCATACCTGAAGCATCTCTTTACCCTTCATTATCTTCTCCAGTGGAACTGGCAACATCATTTGGACTTTTTAATATATTGCTAACAAAAAAGTTATTACCTGACAAGGCCAGCACAGAGGGAACTAACATCTCTGAAAATGCAGCAGAATCTTTTCTGACCATTCCACAAACATACAGACTTTTAGTTACAAAAGATAAAAGCTCAGCTCTTACTAGAACCAATAAAGCCACTGTTCTCTGGGGTAAACAACCACATTTAATTTATGTTTCAAAATCTAGTGCCCCCATTTTAAGCAGCAAGTTCCATAGTGAAGAAAATCTACATTCTTCTGAAGTTCTGCTGCTTATCTGGCCTACAGAAGTTGCTGATACCCCAAAGTTATGTTTTTCTACAAATGAATTTGACTCTTATGACAGCAGTATCATTAGAACTCATGTGGCATATCCTGATGCTTTACAGCTAGATGAAAGTGATTTAAGCTTGGATAGTCCACTTGGAACCAAAATGAACTTCCAGATGACCAGGAAGCTCACCTCAAAACTTTTGGAAGAGTCAACTGTTACCTTCCATAAAGAAATACCTACAGAGAGAGGATTCTATGCTACTACTTTGTACTATGGAGCACAAGGTAAGATCTTTGTCTATTAGTAGAGTGTCATATTTCAGAGAGATTTCATGATATGGGACAACTATATTCTCATTCATTTGTGAAACTTCTTAAGCATTATTAGGTATAGCAGAGTGACACTAAAGTCTTCACAAAATACTTTCTTATGTCTGGGGAAAAAAGCAGTAAATCATATAAGAGCAGCGGCCGTACTGAATCTAGCCAATGTTCTATCTATTGCAGCAATTTACATCCAAGTCCCTCAGAAGTCAGACAAGTCCCTCAGAAAAGGTCATAAGGTGTACATAAGACACAAGCAATCCCCCATTGCTGGACTCTATGATTTGTATTTCAAAGTATACCCCCTCTGAACACAGAAATTCCCATGTGCTGTCATGGGTTACAGCAATTTATTTTCCCTTTATACCATGTAAGTTAGTGCCCATATCACATATTGTGGCAGCCTTCATCGGGGAAAACTCAAAAACAAAATATGTAATACTAATCTGGCACCCATTGGTTTGTACAACACAAAAAGAAACCCTACATTATTTCCATAGTGTGTGGGTATATGTGTGTGGGGGGGAGATGTTATCTGGAAGTACCTGACAGACAATTCAGTAGTTTCTATGGTAGCATGGTTTCCACCCTCCTCATCCAGTCTTTCTGCTGTTGGCATGTATCCCATCAGCCACCATGCCTGAAATTCAACCTCTCATTGGATGGCTGTAGCCGCTCCTGTAGGAGTGGTCACTTTGTCCTGGAAATTCTGTGGTAGGACCATGGAAACCATGATGCTGGGTTCAGGCAATCAGAAAAACCATTCTGAAGCATGGAAACCATAGGACAGATCCTTGTTTCTTACGTGGCTTCAAAAAACCAAATGTACCATGTCAAAATACCATGATAGGGTTGGATGATATGACAGGCCATCCTGCACAAGAAGCCACTATGACTTATTATGTCATGAGAACCTGTGCACTGGCTTAGCTTTTTCCTCATGTTTATCCCTCCATCCTCCTTATCCTTTTAATCTGAAAAATCATAATAACTTAAGCATTTGCTTAAGTTACCGTTACTCTTTAAGGATACCCCAGATAGTATAAGGCTGGTGAGAAGAAAAGACATGAATTTTGTATCGCAGATTTGTAATAATTTTTAAAAAGGCAATAAAATTGTGTTAGGCTGTGTTAGGTTTTTTGAATGCTTGATGTAATTAACCTAACCAAGCAATTAGGCATATTTTGTATTCTGGCCATAGCACCCTTGTTAGGCTATTCTAAGAGTCCTTACTTAGGCTGGTGCTGACATCCCCTAAGGATATTTCTGTATTCTCTTCATGTCTACCTTTCCCATCATGCAGATAGACAAACTGGGTATCCACACACAATGAAACTGTGGAGGGGAATGCACTGGGCAGAGACTGTGTAATCTGCTAAATTACATGTTGAAACATTAGTTTTGAATAGTTACATCTGGACACAGTGCATTTAAAAGTCAGCTTGTTGGGAAGGTTGGTTAGGGTGGCAGACCACGCCGAGCTAGAGGTTTGTAGCTTCCCGTTAGCTCTGAGTTTGCCACCTAATGAATCAATGGCTTGAATGTGTCTTGAATGTAATTGGGGTACAGGGGAAAGAAATCACCAGTAAATTACAGTTTTCAGCTTCTACTGACTGGAGGGCATCACAGCTTTGGAGTCAAATTACTCTAAAGCTGTAAGCAGTTTGCCTGAGCAGTCAAATTTTGAAGATTCAACAGCAGTAACTGAAGTACGCAGCCATTCCTAACCCATTGATTTATCCACCACCCCACGCCTGTGCTAAGTCCCTGTTTTTTAGTTTTAAATTCTTGATTTAATTTATGGCCAGCTTGAATTGTTATGTAGCTGGGAAAGATATAAACTGAAGAACTGAATGCTTTCCTGTTCTGTGGAAATTGTCTAGTTATGACAACTATATATAGCTGCCTTATATATAGAAAGTTGTCTTGTTAATAGCTTCTTAAAAATCTATGACACAGTAACTAACATTTCATACAAGCATTTTGACATCTATGTCATACAAATCTCCACATGATACAGAAGCAATATTTCCTGTATCAAAATTTTTAAGAATGACCCTCAATATTCCCCAGCCAAGGCATAGAGCAGTGCTGGATTTTCACCCTCACAGATCAGTAGAAGTGCTATATGTGTGTCCTAAGTGCCATCATGTCTTGTATCTTGATCATCCCTCTGTTCAGAGCCATTATCAAAATGCAGCATCCAAAGTTGGTTGGGCTGGGACAGTGGCGAAGTCCTAAGATCCTAGCAGGAACTCTTTCATCAAGGGAATGGTAGAGTTGAACCCAGAAGAATGAGAGCAGTCTTGCATATTGCTCATTATGGCTTCAGCAGCAGGATTTTGACTTGGTCTTCATCCCACTCTATTGCTTTTCTAAGTACCAGGAAATGTGAACAGGGAGGATCAGCTAGCTAAACTTGGGATGACCTGCTGTAACTCTAGGAGAGGTCAGCTGCCTGGATGTAGGAGTTTTCCCCTCAGCAGGAGAGCTCAGCAGGAGGTGAAAGAACATTAGGGTCAGAAACATTATGTCAGGTATAATCATACATTTTACAAATTCCTTTTGCTATTTAATGCCAAATCAGTGAAAGCATGGTTCCCTACATTTCCTCCCTATTTCTTCACTCCTATCTAGGCCAGACAAACACCTCACCAAGAGTTGTTCATGCAATTCAGTGGGTAACAGCAACAATTGGACACAAGTTCTCCTTTTCAGTACCTTCAGACACATTTTATGATCAAGAGGATGGAAATACAACCCAGCTGACCCTTGGAATAAACCCAGTTGCTGGGCCACCAACAGGTCAAGAAAGCTGGCTGCAATTTAATTCAGATGATCAAACTATGTATGGCTATCCACTTGCTAATGATTTCCAGTATTCACCACAGGAATTTTTACTCTTTGCTACCGATTCAGGAGGACTGAGAACTTCAAGTATTCTGACAATAGAAATACTCAGACCAACCACTATCCCATGTCACATTTATACTATAAGAACAAAAAATAGTTATCACTCATTCCTGAGAGACAGGGAAAGAATTAACTTGTTTTTTGAGAAGCTTTCCAAGTATTTGACTGCTGGCGACATTGGCAACCTAGTACTACTTCAGCTCGAACCTGGGTCCACTGTGATTACATGGTACAGCAAGTCTTTTTGCACAGGGAACAAATGTGCAATACCAGAAATCCAGGGTGTGTTGCTCAAACTAGGTGCACCTGGTGGAAATGCCAATTTAGATTTTGTTGAGGCAATGTTGCCAGACTACAGAATTGTTCAGACTGAGGATGTTGCATATGGTGGAATCTGCTTACCGACAACAAAGCCATTGAACGAATCTGTAACTTCAAACAAGCCCTTAGCTACTTTTATGGACAATCTTTGGATAAGAAACATCTCTGCCTTCCTAATCAGTATATGTATTACAATTATGGTGATTCTGATAGCTGCATTCCACTACTGTAAATATCACAAGAAATTATTTGGATTGCTATCTGCACCTGTTCAAGGAAAACCCTTCTTAAATTACATTGATTTGGAGATGGATATGTTGAAATCCCGGAAATCACCCAAACTTGAACAAGAGATCCCCCCATCAGCTCAGCTTTGGTTACCTGTGCCAACACCTTCACACATGTATCTCTGCAGACCAGATAGAAAGCTTGTTGCCTCAAGGCTACCTCCACCTCCAAAATATAGACTTCCACCATTATATGGAAAGGAACAATCTCGTCAGACTCATAATGAGCTTTAAGTTATAGCAGTTATTATCTCAAAGCTAGACTCTACCAAGAACAGAATGTAGGTAAGAGACAATTGTTATTGTTATGTGAGAATAAAGTGGCTTTAAAATAAAAAGTGGTCAACAGGCATAATTAGAAATTTGAAAATATTGTAATTATTCATGATGACATAATGAAAGACATAGCTAAGTGCCAAGTAAACTAGAATTTTGTTCCATGAGGCTATTTACCAAAAATGCACACACCCTTGCCATGCACACTAAGTCTGGAAAAACTCTGGCTGTATTACTAGCAAGAACAGTAAGTAATAAGGTGCTATATCACCACTTGCACTTGCTTTGACTTCTGTATGCTCTGGGACAATAAAAATGATCCCCAACCATACTGTAGGTATGTTAATTTGTAACAAGCAGTGCTTTTTTTGTCATAGAACGCACCGGAACAGAGTTCTGGCACCTTTTTACGATGGATTTCCCAAGTTTTAAAAGTAACTTGAAAATTTGATTGTTTGGTCCACGTGGATTTAAATTGCCCTGTCGAGCGTAGCAAGTTGGCAGCAAAATCATTAAAATGGTGCACGCAGGCTGCTTGTGTGTCAAGTCCGATGCATGTGTACTTCGTCCGCGCTGGTTGTGATGGCGCTGCTCGGCTTGTGATTGGTCGTGTGGTCACGTGCTGAATGCTTACTGTGGGCGGCGACCATTATGTTTTGTTACACAACTGACGTGTGTGGGTGTGTGTACAGCGATTGACTATGTGCGAAAGGTAAATAATTTCTTTATTTTAAAAAAACAGTGAATTGAAAATCTTTTTTTAATTTTTAGTGTAAAAATGTGACCCCAAATTTAAAAGTGAAAAAAATTACTAATTATTTCTCAACCACCCGTCCTGCTAATAAAAAGGCCAGAATATTAACAGATACAATGAAAGAACACATAGATACGAACAGCAGGGAAAGGAGTCGAGAAGATTTGTCAGATGAGACTTGGACAAAACTTTGGAATTTACTATGAACATTTGCCTTAAATACAATAAATTAAATTTATGTTAAGAACTGAATATATAATTTTTTAAATAAAAGATTAACACGATGTGAGTTCCGGCACCTTTTTTTTTCTTTCAAAAAAAGCACTTGTAACAAGTAATTAGGTTATTTCCTCCCGACAGTAGTTATCGGCAGAACATCCAACTTTTACTAATCAAAGCGTCAACAGAACCTTAAAAAAAATCTTGTGTTATAACAGTGGTGTGATTGTTGCTGTCCCATGGTGCCTTCCATTCCATGTTGATCTAGGAACCCAAGAATCCAGGGCAGGGCAGGGGGGAGGGGCAACATGACAAGAACTTTATTAAAATTGTCTCCATCGATCCAGCACTTGATAGCACTACGCTTACCAAGCTATATAATAGTTTCCCTGTGATGTGATTTCTACAACTGCATGTTTCAAGATGTGGAGGATAAAGCATGCCACTTCCTAATTTATGAATCAGCTTATAAAATCTCAGCTGTAGCAAAGTAAGGCATTCAGTACCCATTGTTTCCTCTGGTTCAGATGAAAGAAAGAAAAAAATGCTTGGAGGTGCTTCTGCCCAGTAACTTTCCTTCTTAAAGACAAATTGGCAACTATTTGTGGCTCCATTTTTTTGTGGACTGGTTTCTCAGGTTGCCAACCTTTTACTCACCCAAGTCTGTGCCGCACAGGAATTGTGGACACTAGCAGCTAATAATCCTTATTTCTAAGTCATGAAAAACTTAAAATGGATTTCTGCAGATCAAATTCCTCTCAAAAGCACAGCAGGTCAGGATGGATTTTTTTGATGAGCAGGCCATCCTTGGCCTTCTCATGTGCCAGAATTGCTCTAGGCCCCCAATAAAAAGAGTACATTTCGAAGTAATGTATTAAAGGTAGTGTGAATGGCACAAAAGTTTTTTCACCATGAGTATTTAAAAACATGCCAATTTCTACAGTTTAACATGGAGGATTATTTTTAACTGAATTCCCTGGTCTGTTAGGTATTTGAAGTATAGCAACAGTCTTGGCTATAGGATTTTATATTCTGTTCTCAAATACAATAATTTTTAAAGCGATAAAGAGGGGAATACTATGGCAGAAGAGTAGGGGAAAAGATGGTATAAAAGATAGAAACTCTTCTTTAAATATTTAGAAAACCAACTTCCAATGTTTCTCAGCTACATATATTCTATGATTATTATGCCACATAATAAAACAAGCAAACAAAAATACAATATCTATGACTCAGTTGGGAACATGTATTAACAGGTAACATCTATGAGAGTTTTGACTATCCTGGCATGCAGAAGCTTTTGACTGCAGTTGCAAGTAATACACTTTACATGGGTCCCTAACCTTTCTGGGTTATGGACACATTTGGGAACTTGAGGAACTGTTGTGGGCATCATCACAAAATGGCTGATATGGAGAACATGACTAGTCACATAATAGTTATTGTGAGGGCCTGACTAGAAAAAAAAAGATGGCATGAGAACCAGTGTGACTAGAGACTGGGAGGTGGGGAGGGAGGAAGCAAAGTAAAGGGATAAATGCTGCAAAAACAAAATTTAGAGGCTAGGAGCAGGAGAAGCAGTGAAATAGAGAAGTGTGGAGGGAGAAATAGTGAGGCTAGAAGCTGGGAGGGGAAAGAAAAAGCAGGGGAAAGCAGCAGAATTGTGAGGCAAGAGATAGGGTGGAAAGAATTAGTGAGATTAGAGGCTGGAAATAACAACATGGAAAGGTCTGTGTGCATGGAAGAACCAGGAAGCATCCTTTTCCTTCTCTGATCGGTTGCAGGAAAATTCTCACATCCTACAATTTTTCAGGGTTTTTTTTTTATACTACATTTTTGAAAAGGGCTGGGAATAGACCTTTGTGGTTGCCATCTTGTCCATGGGCACTGCACTGACAATCCACCCTACAATTTTCCAAGTGTTTTCCACTATTTAATGATTAATAATGATATCTGAAATGAACAAAGAGTAGGGAGCTTCACAGTAACCATTGGAAAGGCCTGCAAATGCTGCACTGGGGACCACTACTTTACTATATGTGGTGGCTAATTTTTTTTATTATAACCCTCTATTACCATTGTAGCACACACAAGCTGCTCCTAGCTCATGTCATTGCCAGAGGAAAACTTGAAAACCTGTTGAGTATGCACTGAAGGCTCAGAAAGAGCCTCAGGTGCAGAATAGAAGTATAGCTTCAGTGATTTGAAAAGCTCCATGTCTTTCATTTTTAACTATTGTTAAAATTATTAACTCATTCCCTGACGTTCCTGCTCACAAACTCCTAGGTTCACTTCTCACTCTGATTTTGGCTTTCTAATTCCAATCATTGTCAGATTTTCCAAATCTGATATATATAACCTGGAACCAGGACACATATAATCAAGAAGCTTGTTTCTATATACAGAGAACCATAACCTGTATCTTGTAGTGGCTTCTAGCCAAATAATCATACCAGCTGCCAAACTCAGAAGGGGGATTATAATCAGATCAAAAAATCCAGGAAAGAGCCAGAATGGTGATTTTTCCCTGAATAAAGTGCTTTAAAAACTTATCAAAAACAGGGCTGAAACAATATGAGGCTGGTTTTGTGAATACATGGGATAACCGCAATCAGAACATGTGCCTTATTAAACACTGTTTCCTTGCAGATACATTTATCTTTAAATAATTGTGGTTAAACTTCCCACTCCATCCATCCCTCAATTCTAAAGTTGCACTAGCCAATTAATTTAAATACCCACCTGACAGGGAGAGTTCTGTGAGAAAGTTTCCTCTGAAAATTCAGGCAAATTACATGAGAGAAAGTGGTCTTTCAGCTAGCCTCTTCCCAATCTTTATGGACTTTACTGGTTATAACCAGCACCTTCAATTGTGCCCAGAAACAGACTGCTAGCCAGTGAACTTGCTACAAGGGTGTCACATGTTCTCTCTAACCAGTCCTGGTGAATATTTTGGCTATACCATTCTCAAACAGCTGATGTTTACAATCAATTTTCAAAGGCAGGCTCATTAGAATAGCTCAAGTGAGATTTAACTAAGGTATGTGAGACTGTTGTCAGATCAGCTGCCTCAAGGAACTGATGCGCTGTCGTCAGCTGTGCAAACACACTCCTAGCCACTTCTGAAAGCTGGCCATCCTAGTTCAGGGAGTGAAACCCCTGGAATTCAGTCCAGGCTGAACTCTGATTTCCTGAGTTGCCTTTTCATTAACTGGGAGCATCTCTGCCTTGTCTGATTTATGCTGCAATTTCTTGGCTTTCATTCATTCCATTACTGACACCAGATAGATTTAGAACTATAATAGCCTTCTTACATATAAAGGACAGAGATGGGGGTCATCAGAACGCTGGGAGCAACAAAATGCAAACTCTAGACAACCTGTCTCAGCAGTTTCTCATATATATGTGTGTGTAATTGTGTATATCGACTTATTTTGTTTACTTGTTAGTTTATTGTTCTATTAGGTATACTACTGTTTTTTCTCATTGATTTGTTTTCTTGTTCTGTAATCCACCGAGAGAGTCCTTTTGGAGTATTTGCTGAAGAACAGAAGTTTAATTATGAATAAATAATAGCATGGTAGACAAGCTGGAATGCTGAGAGTGATGGTCACTGTACCAAACAGGAATTCCCCAGCTTCGGAAATTGTTCCTTCAAGACAGACCAAAGCCTCTGTATAACAATGCCATCTAGTCCCATTTGCAACACATGCTTCAGAAGGATAGCATAGCTAATGGTATCAAAAAGCCACTCAAAGGTCCAGCAGAACCAACAAGGATCCATTCCCCCTTTCAGTTTCCAAGCACAGAATGTGCACCACCAGTAATGAGTTACAAGTATACCATTTATACCAGCTACATATTAAAACACACCTCCAATTAAAGTTGCCTCCGTAGCTCTAACAGCAGTGCAGAGACCGTAGCTCCAATGTTAATATAGTGATACCAGGCTGCCTTGCCTTCCACAACATTTGTTTTGATCTATTGCTAAGATGCAATCTCAAAAAAATTGCTATAATACAGAATTGGTTAAGTATCTGCCTCCCTTTACAATTTTTTGTTAGTTGCAAAGTTGAGTCTGACCCATTGTGACCCCATGGACAACTTTCCTCCATGCTCTCCTGTCCTCCACCATCCCCTGGAGTCCACCTAAGCTCATGCCAACTGCTCCAGTGACTTCATCTAGCCACCTCATTCTCTGCCGTCCCCTTCTTCTTTTGCCATCTATTGTTCCCAGCATTAGGCTCTTCTCCAGTGAGTCCTTCCTTCTCAACCCTTTTACAATAGATGATACTTTACACCTTCAAATTTAGTATCTACTTAACCCTAAAAACCTCTCTGCCCAGTAATTCCTTTGAAATAAATCATATGAAAAGACGTCAGTGTGATTTGGGCTATATAAAAAGAATGCATACAGCTTTTTTGTTATTGGAAGATACACCATGCACAGTCCAGTTCAGACTGAACTTGTTCATATAGTTCCATATACAAATGACTGTATGAATACGCATAGTGTGCATAACAGAACATTTTAAGTTGTACATACCAACCCAAACCACTCAAAGACTAACTTAGTTTGTCTTTTTTCAGTGTCAGTGACTGGTACAAACACTGCAGAATTTATATAGCACTTTGAACAGGGAAAGTACTTTATAACCATTTTCCTGTTCATCCTCAAAACTATTTACAGTATATCCCACATTTTTTCTACAAGAAGCCCAAAACAATTGACATGATCAACTTCTTCATTTTGTCCTCACACTAGCTCTGATAGGATAGGAGTCCTTGACTCGTCCAAAGTGATTCATGGAGTTCGTGGATGAAGGGGGATTAGAACCCCTATTTCCTGAGTCCCAAGTCAACACTCTAGCCAGTACACTGCACTAGTTCTCTAGGACTCATGGGATTAAAGATAAAAAATTAAGAGCTGTGCTGGAGTGGATGGAAGGTCCACCTTGTTCAACATTTTGTTCCCCCAGTGGCCAACCAGAGGAAGCCCACAAGCAAGACCTAAGTGCAACAGAATCATCCCATGTGTGCTGTCTAGCAAGTGGTTGAGAGCCCATTCTTGCCCCAAACCTCTTTCAATTAGGTTTATTGGTGATCAGTGGTTTGAATCCAGGGCTCCTGGGTCCAATTATGGATTCTTTTATGTACCACTTATATGTACCACAGTATCTCTACTGGTGCTACACCTCCGCTCATTCTGTTGTGCCATGAGATTAATGCTAGTTCAACATGAAGTTAGCAACAATAAAATGAAATGCTTATTTCTGCAACAGGAGAGGTCAACAGAGCTCCTTTCCGCAAGGAATGTTCATTTGCCCCATTCCAGAAGCAAATATTTTGAACCATTTCTAATTGCTTAAGGAAGGCCTAGCAATGGTTCCCACTGGGGCACGCACAGCACTGGATACAGAACATGGCCTCATAAAAAGATTTCACATTACAAATAAGAACAAAGCACTTGAGACAAAACAATTGCTTCTCCAATAGACAACATAGCTGTTTTTAATTTTATTTTATAAAGATATTACTAGTTGGAAGTAAAATGTATTATTTGCTCCTAGAATAAAAAGGGCTTGGGGGCAAATGATTTACACTTTTAATGTAATATTCAGATTTTACATTTTCATAGAAAAGGGCTCAAATTAGAAAACTGTAAAAACCAATCAAAGCAACTGAACTGTACAATTTGATACAAGTATCAAATTAAGCATAAAAAGATTTATTCAACTTGACCGTGTTCTTAAGATTTAGTATTCACTGTCGGCTGGCTTTCCCATTTTCTGTTGTCTCCATTCTGAAACAAAACAACACCAAAAACACTGATAAACTTCAGTTTAGAGTATGCTTGTATTTTACCCAAATTATTTAATCTAGCATTTCATCCACTTTCCTGTTTACAGCTGAAGGGATTTGGGGGTAGAAAGAGATGAGAAACATCATTCTTTGAACCTTGGTAGCTGTAGTCTATTTACAGAGGGAAAAATATTCAGTAACTCCTACCATACATTTTCACCTACTGACTTCACAGTCAGAGGAACTGAATTTTAAGGAATGATTAGAATTTCGTTCAGTAACATCTACTAATGGATAAAGAAAAATGTCCTGGAGGTGGGCAGTATACTCTATCAGGTAAGCCCTACATTTCTTCATTCTCTCATCTGGACCTGCTAAATCCAGCTGTCTATTTTAATACATCCCTCACCTTAACAGAATTCTTTTCAATAAGGTATCAATACAAAAGTTTCTTTTTAAAATGAACAAGGAGGTCCCTTTTCTTCTCCATACATAAATGCAAGTTCTTGTCTGATTAAACCCTAAAAATTTTACAGAAGCCAAACCTATACTTCTTGTTCTTCATTAAGCAGTTACTACTGTAAGGAATGATACAGTATCTCACAGAAGTGAGTACACCCCTCACATTTTGTAAATATTTTATTGTATCTTTTCATGTGACAACCCTGAAGAAATGACACTTTACTACAATGTAAAGTAGTGAGGGTACAGCTTGTATAACTGTAAATTTGCTGTCCCCTCAAAATAACTCAACACACAGCCATTAATGTCTAAACCGTTGGCAATAAGAGTACACCCCTAAATGAAACTGTCCAAATTGGGCCCAAGGTGTCAATATTTTGTGTGGCCACCATTATTTTCCAGCACTGCCTTAACCCTCTTGGGCATGGCATTCACCAGAGCTTTACAGGTTACCACTGGAGTTCTCTTCCACTCCTCCATGATGACATCACGGAGCTGGTGGATGTTAGAGACCTTGCATTCCACCACCTTCCGTTTCAGGATGCCCCACAGATGCTCGATAAGGTTTAGGCCTGGAGACATGCTTGGCCAGTCCATCACCTTTATCCTCAGCTTCTTTAGCAAGGCAGTGGTCGTCTTGGAGGAGTGTTTGGGATCGTTACTATGTTGGAATACTGCCCTGCAGCCCAGTCTCCGAAGGGAGGGGATCATGCTCTACTTCAGTATGTCACAGTACATGTTGGCATTCATGGTTCCCTCAATGAACTGTAGCTCCCCAGTGCCGGCAGCACTCATGCAGCCCCAGACCATGACACTCCCACCACCATGCTTGACTGTAGGCAAGACACACTTGTCTTTGTATTCCTCACCTGGCTGTCGCCACACATGCTTGACACCATCTGAACCAAAAAAGTTTATCTTGGTCTTATCAGACCACAGGACATCGGTCCACTAATCCATGTCCTTAGTCTGCTCGTCTTCAGCAAACTGTTTATGGGCTTTCTTGTGCATCATCTTTAGAAGAGGCTTCCTTCTGGGACGACAGCCCTGCAGACCAATTTGATGCAGTGTGTGGCGTATGGTCTGAGCACTGACAGGCTGACCCACCACCCCTTCAACCTCTGCAGCAATGTTGGCAGCACTCATACGTCTATTTCCCAAAGCCAACCTGTGGATATGACGCTGAGCATGTGCACTCAACTTCTTTGGTCGGCCATGGCGAGGCCTGTTCTGAGTGGAATCTGTCCTGTTAAACCACTATGTGGTCTTGGCCACCATGCTGCAGCTCAGTTTCAGAGTCTTGGCAATCTTCTTATAGCCTAGGCCATCTTTATGTAGAGCAACAATTCTTTTTTTTAGATCCTCAGAGAGTTCTTTGCCATGAGGTGCCATGTTGAACTTTCAGTGATCAGTATGAGAGAGTGAGAGAAATAACACCAAATTTAACACACCTGCTCCCCATTCACACCAGAGACCTTGTAACACTAACGAGTCACATGACACCGGAGAGGGAAAATGGCTAATAATGCCCAATTTGGACAGTTTCACTTAGGGGTGTACTCACTTTTGTTGCCAGCGGTTTAGACATTAATGGCTGTGTGTTGAGTTATTTTGAGGAAACAGCAAATTTACACTGTTATACAAGCTGTACACTCACTACTTTACATTGTAGCAAAGTGTCATTTCTTCAGGGTTGTCACATGAAAAGATATAATAAAATATTTACAAAATGTGAGGGGTGTATTCACTTCTGTGATATACTGTATATATGGACAAGCCTGTTTGTCACTGGTAGAAGAGATAAACTCTTCCTGTAGTAAGAACCTAATCATCATCAGTGTGGCAAGACTGCAGAAGAATAGTTAACACCTATTCCCCAATTACACATGTTGAATATTTAGGAACAAAATACTCAGATAATCTGTTGATTAGTATGAAAATGACATCATGCAGCAGGCTATTTAGTGGTACATACCCATTTTCTTCTTTAAGATGTTGATACAGTTCTACTTTATTGTTTACAGAGTTCAAGCGACCAATAAATTCTTGATGCTTTCTAGAATTTGCTGTATTAATTCTGTTGCTCCATAAAGACAGCAGAGATATTGGGCCTAGAAACAGGGTTTGGTAAAAAGAATTTAAGGGCTCACATTAGTTTGTATTCCCAGATCCTTATTTAGTGCTACTTCTTCAACACAATAAGTAAATATTTGCATGTTAAAGACAACATTACGTGAACACATTATATGAACACATTTGTGTTCCTTATTCAGATTTTTATTTTACTATCTTTATTGTGCATCACAGATAAAATCTCCAGCTTCTAGCAAACCAAAAATATTTTACAGGAAGATCCAAAGCCTATCATTACAATTTAGGATTAGGACAACAGAGGCTCTGGTCTTCCCAAAAGCAAATTATAAAATATTTAAAATAAAATATAAAAATAATTATGAAAAATACATTATTTTGTTTGAGGACTTAACTTTTGCATGAACTAAGATGAATGATTAAGAGACGTTTTCCACCTAGCCCTTTATTTATGCTCCATTCTGTCTTGTTAAGACAGAAATGGTTCATAAACCTGGAAGTGGAACAGAACTACATGTGAGCAATAGAATCCTTTCCTACAATACCCGAATCAGTCCTTCCAAACAAGAAGTCTAGGAAAGAATGGTCACATTCATGCATCATGCTAAGCCACACTGCAAATAAGCTTCTATAAGTTTATAGAACAATTCAAGATGCACCCAACAGATGCTCACTTTTTTTTTCTCCTCCTCAGTCCTCCAGCCAGTACCACAATGTGCTGTGCAGTGGAAGCGATCACTAGCATTTTTTATTCACCACTTTAAAAAAAATCAAAGCCACAAAAATGCACAATTGGTTCAATTTTTTTTCAGCCCAGGAAAGTGTGTGTATGTGTGAAGATTCCACTGGTCTTTCACCAGTATGTTCTTACAGCTGCCCCAGATATATAGTCTTGCCAATTTTCCTGAGGGTTTGAACTGTCAATTGGAGCAGCAAAGTGAAATAGGTAACATATATTGGAAATGACAAAGTGAGACTTCATATATGGTAATTTGCACAGAGCTGGTAGGGACCAACTGCCAAAGTGTCAATTGAAAAGCACAAGAAAAGTGAATAAAAGCAACAAATGAAAGTGTACCAAAAGGTGGAGGGACAGTATTTCCCCCTTCACAACGTAATCCTCTTAATTTTAAGTGCTGAACTAACATTTCACAGTGCATTCTACTTTTTCAAACACTTCTCCAAATCACCTGTTGTTTCAGAAAGGGGAGATATTAACCCACCCCACCCACCATGTGTCACAGCTCCTTTTTGGACTACTTACTGATGCTGTTACTGTGACAATTCCAAAATAACTCCTACAGAAAAAAATATGTAAATTCCTGGAAAATAAATGGAA